GATATTCCTTAGATACAATCTGTTAATGGACTTTGATCTAATGATGGACTGTTAGGTCTCTGTGGGTGTTTTAGTGAAATTTTCTTGCTTCTGCACTCCCCGTTTGCAGCCAAGTTTAATAGGATGCATTCAGTCACACTGAATTTATTTAGGGAAATGTTGTCCATGCACCCTCTTCCCTTGAAGATAGGCGATGTGAGGGAGTTTACCCATTCGCCACGCTGCAGTGTGTGTGTGTGCTGGCAGGGAGGTGGCAGCAGCAGTGTGTCTGAGGCAGCGTAATCTTTCTCAGGGGCATCTTTCTTATGCTCTTTGCCTCTCCCCACTTCTATTTTTCCCTCTTTCATTGTCTTTTTCAATGGGTTTTTGAGGTTTTCACCGGTGCCAGTTGCGATATTCCTCATTCATCATAGATTGTGTCCTCTGACAGGCTCTTTTCCCAGCTGTCCTCTTACCGTGGCTCAGAATTGATTTGACTGTGGTGGATGTGCGGTCTGGTGTTGAGATGGTTTTCACCTTGTTATGTCCTTGCGCTGTTTTACAAGGAGGAAATATGCCTGGTTGGTTTTAGAGAAGATATATTCCTATTTGGATTTTGCAGTAGCAAAATCGAGCAGCTCTTTATGTACGTTAGTTCAAGACAATTTTGACTTGCTTAATCACAGTGCTTTAGAGAACAAGTTGTACCGCAAGTTTGTGTGGTGTGGCGATTATTGTTATTACAGATTTGAGGGTGTGTTATACCTCGTTAGATAGCATTTTCTGTCGTCTGGTGTCTGGAATGTTATATTAAGTAATAAAACTAGTTACTTTAGGTTTAATGATTAGACGAAAGCTAGTCAAACCTGACTTTTCCTGAACAAATCATGGATTTTCCATTAATATTCCTTTTGGATCAATGCATGTGTGGCCGTTTTATGGCGCAGGAGTGATTAGCCAGCTTATTCAATGTGGCCAAAGAGCTCGGATCACATACGTGACGCATACTGTGTGCTTCACTTGCCAAAACCAGCACTCCCCTGAGGTCCTGACCAGTGCTAATGAATTCACAAAGAATGGGGCTCTTCTGCTTGAGTGCCAATCCATCTGACTTCTCCACTGGAGCACACACACACAAGATACAGTATGTCTGTGTTCCCAGCCTGGCTTGTTATTCACATAGAGTAGTCGAGGCCTGGCAGATAGCAGAAATGTAGTACAGTACGTCACTCAGCATACAGTATGTAGCCTTCAGCATTTAGATGTAGTGTGAGTTAACCTACAAATGCTTTGTGAAAACTCCGCGATTCATTAAATATGTGAGAATAGGATTTAAATAGTGTGTTTTAACAGTTTATGTTAGTGACGGGAATCTTTAGGCACCTCAAGATCTGATTCTTAAATGATTCTTGATCTATTTTTTATTTTTTTTCTTACTAATTAATGAGTTTACTGACTTTGAGTCCGTAAAAAGTACAAATTAATAATAAATCGTAACAATTGTATGTTAAAGGGATAGTTCCAAACTGTATGAATTTCTTTCTTCTGTTGAACACAAATGAAGATATTTTGAAGAAAAGTTGATGGACTTCCATAGCATTTTTCCATAATATTTTGTTTACATTTAAATTTATTTATTTAGGGTGAATTATCACCCTAATATAAGTATTATTGAATAATTAAATATAGCTTCAGAACACAGCATAGCAAATATAAAGTAATTGATCAGGCTGATTGGCAGCATCTCTAATTGCCACAGAAAATAATTTTGACTGATTACTAAGTTTTTAAAATCAAAAGCAAACATTTTCATGTAGTAGTTCTCTTGCAGTGGAAGTCTTTGGGGCAAGATCTTATTCTAGGATAAATGTTAAAATAAAAATTGTTTGAAAATATAGCGAATATGTGGTTGTATATACTGTGCCAACTGGTAGAGATTCAGCTGTATACTGCGATTTATGTGTGGTGTAATTAATAATTCATTCCCACACTGAGCAGAAAACTATTTTGTAAAATAGGCGGCTACTTCCAGTGTAGACAGCTTTGTTGGTTTTAATGGGAGCGGTGTAGTTTTGAGGAGCTGTGCCACACATTTCCAGAGTAATGATGATGTAATGGTTGGTTACAGTTGCCGAGCAGCTCCATGGCTTGTTGCATTAGTTCAGAATTCAGTAGATGAGTATATGTGCATATATTTACAGCAGCCTCCAACACCACTCATTTAGTCATAATGTGTTACTGTTTTGGGGTTGACTAAAGTGTTTCATAATATAAAGCTGTTTTTTTTTTCTTCTTTTTTTTGCACGATGCCAGAATTATCCTTGAGTAGTTATGAATAATATTATCTGAAATATGGTAAATGGTAATGCTACATGCATTGAATTTCCAGTAAAAATAGCTATCGTGATACAGTCATTGCGCCCACTCCTAAAGACTTTTGCGCCCACTCCTAAAGACTTAAAGGGATACTCTACCCCAAAATGAAAATTTTGTCATTAATCACTTACCCCCATGTCGTTCCAAACCCGTAAAAGCTTCGTTTGTCTTCGGAACACAATTTAAGATATTTTGGATGAAAACTGGGAGGCTTGTGACTGTCCCATTGACTGCCAAGTAAATTACACTGTCACAAGCCTCCCGGTTTTCATCCAAAATATCTTAAATTGTGTTCTGAAGACGAACAAAGCTTTTACGGGTTTGGAACGACATGGAGGTAAGTGATTAATGACAAAATTTTCATTTTGGGGTGGAGTATCCCTTTAATCATGTTACTTGTAAAATGAGACTAGTGTTAATTCAGAAATCGTTCTAATATGCTGATTTGCAACTCAAGAATAATTTCTTATTATCATCAGTGTTGAACACAATTGTGCGGCTTAATATTTGTGGAAAACATGGTCAATTTTCTTTCAGGATTCTTTGATAAATAGAAAGTTTATTTGAGTTTATTTGAAATGGAAATCTTTTGTGCCAAATTAAATTGTAATTGTTATTAAATTGTAATGTTTGAACAATTAATGTGTCCTTGTTGAATAAAAGTATTAATTAAAAAAAACAAACAAAACTAATTTACCCTGAACTTTTGAACAGTAAGCGCCATTAACAAAAACTCGAGCACCTCATTTCAGCTTTTAAGCCTCCAAAATGTCTCGACTTTCATGGAGAGTTCACTGTTTTTTTTTTTTTTTTTTTTTTCAC